GATGATTGGACTTAAGATGATCTTAGAGGTCCTTTCCAACCTTAATGATTCTATGCCTGCACTTTTTTTTTTCTTTTTTTTTTCCTAACATAAGGATTTTCTTCTTCAGTATTTAAATGCTCGCTATCTACTTTACTTCACTCATAGTTATTTTTTCTCCAAGGGACAGGTGGCGTATGTGATAGCTGACAACCACGTGTACTTCGATGTCAAAAAGCCACTAAGATGTGACTTCAACAACATGGGTACTTAATGAAAAACATACTCCAGTATTTTTGAAAGCTAAACACTGATGTTCGGAAGGCAACCTCACAAAGTCATCTCTTTTAGAGGACGCAAACTAAAACTAAAAACACTTCGAGCTCAATCTAGAGAATAAGAGAAGAAAGCAGGCAGGTGACAGAAACCATGCCAAAAGAAACCACAAGTTCCCTTCCACTCCAAAACAAGAGACCAGTTTCTGTTTGGTACAACCATTGCACACATCTGCATGTAACAGGTAACAGAGATCAGGGAAGCACAACATACCCAATTTTCCTTGTATTCAAACAGCTGACTGCGTGGTGTATAGCCACAGACAAACCTTAATGTGCTCAAGAAGAGCAAATAGGTTCACTGGAAATCTGATTTTCTTCCTTTTCTACTGTAGCAGGAAGAGAATGGTATTTGTTTGCATTATTTGTTAGCATGAAACCAAAGTCTAGCATTCGGCCCTGTGACTAAGTGGTAAAACGATCTTGATACTCAGCCAACACGCTATTAAGCAAACGAACTTTCTTAAACTGCCTGCAGAACATCAATCAGATTCATTTCTCCAGGCTAACTTTAACCTGATATTTAAATATTAAAGGATTGATAGATTAGAAAAGCAGGAAAAGACAGTCATACATCACTTCCAGATGAAAAGGTGATGAAAATTTCATTTTTTTCCTTCTGGAGAGAGGAAAAAAAAAAAGTGAACAGCAAAATCAAAAAGCGCGGAATAAAATGACTCTACAAAACTTTACTACTACCCAAACTACTTTACAATAGCTATCAATAAAAGTGGCATTCTTAAACAAAGACTTACAATGAAAACTTGCAAAATGAAGATTGAGTTAACATTTATTTCACAGCAATAATTTATACATCACTGCTTATAAAATAGAACCAAGATGTTGCTATAGAAACAAGAAACAACATAAGAAAGTCAACAGCAACGTATTAGCTTTATTCAGCTTTCACGGCAACTGAAGTTTAGGATCAACGGTTGCTGCAACAAACTTCTACCCACCAGGAGCAGCTGTGTGTCAGGGAGATGAAAAGGCTTTTCCAGGAGATGAACTTCTGCATGTGCAGAGCAGATAAAACTCCAAAAGCAATACAGCCTTTAGCTGATAAACCATATTGCAGTCCCAGCAGAGAAGGAAGTGGGAATCAAAAAATAAGCCTATATTAAAACACGGGGAATTAATCTTCTGCTGTACCTGTACCTTGATCCCCACCGTGCTAAAATCTTAGCCAGAGATCAGACCACAAGTCATTTCCAATCAATCTTTTCCTTACAACCTCAACACGTAATTTCCACAGGATAAGTTTCCCCACTAAAAATGGTCAGCTAAAGCCAGAAAAAAGGTACAATGCGTGGTACATTCAGCATGGTATTAACCCTCTGACTTCCTGCAGAGCAATGGTTAATCCTTCCTCTGAGGAAGAATAAATTTCTGTACACTTCTATCTCCAGGCACTTTTGTCTTTGAGCTAGGAGGATCCTCATATTATAAAAGCAGGGCATACTATGCTATCTCTTGTATGTGCTACAGCTATGTCTGAAAGTTTTACTTACTTTTATTTTCTTCTTAAAACACTGTCAACTCACAGAAGACTCACTGTGGTGGGGGGTTGGAATGTGATGATCCCTGCGGTCCCTTCCAACCCAAGCCGTTCTATGATTCTGTGATAATGCCTTTTAGAAAGTCTTTATAAGATACTAGTACACAGCTAGGAGCCTTTACAGTAAAGATAAGGTGTTAGTAGATCCAGAACAAATTTTGGATTACGCCATCCAGCCAGGTATTGCTCTTTTCAGTTCAGAAACAAATCCTAACAGCTACAAGCAGGAGAAGCCTACAATTTTCAGATTATCTCAGCATAGAATAAATAAGAAACTTAGCAATAAGTTTCTAGCCTTAGGCACCACAGTTTCCATGTACACTAGTGTATTTAAAACATTCTTGGCCTCTACTGACTTGTGACTAAAATTATATAGTCCCATGAACAACACAGCATTTACACGAGAGAGACCATGCAGCCGTTGAAAGCATCCTTTCAACAGTCTCTGCTCTTTCTTTCCACGCTGTAGAAACACCAGTGATACAGCATGTTGGAAACATAATTTAAAAAATCAGGATTTGAAAACCACCAGCTAAGACATCTGTACTTCCTTTAAAATAATTCTCAATGGGAAACACCAAAAAAACCATTTAAAATGGAATCATAGAATAGCTTAGGTTGCAAGGTACTTCCTTCTAAGCCTCCAACTGGATGACCCAGTTCCAACCCCCTGCCGTGTGCTGGTTGCCCCCCACCAAGTCAGGCTGCCCAGGACCTCATCCCACCTGGTCCTGAACACCTCAAGGAATAGGGCACTCACAACCTCTCTGAGCAGCAGTTCCAGCACTTCACTGCCCCCTGAATGAAAATTTTCTTCCTAACATCTAAGCTGAATCTCTTCTCTTTTAGTTAAAGCCATTCTCCCTTGTCCGATCACTATCAGACTGTGTAAAAAGTTGCTTCCTTTCCTTCTTGTAAGCTTCAAGTACTGAAAGGCCACTGAATAGTCCCTCTAGATCTCAATGCACCTATTATAAGATAAAATACTCCATTTATAGAGATAAAATGTTATTCAAAATTACAATAAAATATTCAAAAAGGTTAGAAGCTCAGGTTAATAAGGTGACTGTCTAAGCTAATTTATCTACTTGTGAACACACGTATTGCATATTAACTCCACATTTAGACATCTTCCAGGAGGGAGTGATGGTTTCAGTTCAGCTGTATAACAACACTTTGGATTCTGTTTATCCTCAACCAATTTGAGGTGGAAATCCTGCCTTCAGCAAAGCAACCTGGAATTCTGCCATTGCCTTACACTTTGATTACAAGAGAGTAAAGCCACTACAACCTACACAAGTAATCTACCCTCATTTCTTCTGCTCGTAGAACATAATTCTCATGCTTTAGCTGCACAGTAGGCACTTTTTGGAAGCCTCTTTCATAACTGCTTGCAGCACCTAGAAACAGTGCAAGGCTGTGCACTGCATCTCCCACAGCTTCTTCACATTCGCATGGGGACCATGAGGCCTGCTCACCTCCTGGCTGACACCGCTGTATCCTCTAACACAGGGCTTCTGCCTCATCTTTTCTTACTACACACTTCACGTACTTCACCTGTCTATTCTTACTTTGTGCTTTAACCCAGTAAGGCTTATAAGATAATTACACCTGCAGTGGTAATAAAATAGAAGACTATGACCCCAGTTCTTCCGTGCTTCAAAGACTACCATCCAGGTAACCATCCTCATCTTTGTACACAAACCCACAGAGAATATTAATCACATCACCATCCTGTTCAGCTTCTAAATCTAATCACCAAGGTAGGTAATTTTATAGCCTACTGCAATAATGAGTTCCACAGGCTGTGCTCTACATTTAGTAACACGTCCTTCTGTTCTTCCAGAAACGGACTTCATTACACAGGTCCATGCTGACCTTACTGCCACCACCTTCAATGCAGTATCAAACCTAGAGAGTTTGGCATTTCAAAAATAGACTCCCTAAAGGTTATTCTTATTTAAAAAAAAAAAAAAAAACACTAAAGGGCACACACATTATTATTTACATCCTTACTGCCCTGTGTTGCAAGGAGCTGCAGCTAGCCCGCTCCCATGCTGGGTATGTGACCTGCTTGCTCCATTTCCCCAGCAAAGGGCTTGGAGACGGACTCACAGCCTTATGCAGTCACCAGAGGAATCCACTAAGCCCAGTGTCTTTCAGGAGCACCACACTGCCGGCCGTGAGATCACACAGGTGTGCTGGGTGCTGCCACACATTCAGCTGCTGCCAGATTTCTGGTTCAGCGCAGGCATAACTTTTTTATATGACTTTTCCACAGAAGTAATTAACAAACTAAATGAAACTGTCTGAACATCAGTTTGGGATGTACTCCGGTGGCTCCGCTCGCCCCTGTGCGGATCTCAGCCGCGGTACCTTTCTCTCTCGTTGCCGTCTCAAGAGATTCGCAATGGATCACTACACCGAAGCATGAAACAGAAGTATATTTCTCACCACGGGCTCCATGAAGGGGCATTCGGCACGGCGCCGCTGTCCGAGTACCGAGCAGCCCGTGCTGCAGCCAGGCAGCCACGCGCACCGCCGGGGAGAGCCGCTCCGCAACCGGCAACGAGGAAGGCACGCGGCTCCGCCCGCGCCCGAAGGGAACGGCCCGCTGCCGGCACGCAGCCGACACGCGTGCCGAGGAGAGGCGAGGCGAGCCCAGAAACGAACCGATCAATTTCTGCCATAGCTCCAATAAATTCCGTACAACACGGCAGACGAACCGGCGGCACGCTCCTAAGGGCGCCCGGTTACCAGGAACGGCGACAGCGCCCACCGCTCCCAGCGCGCTCCCGGGACGGCCCCGCCGCGCCGCGCGGTGTCCGGGGTTGGACGGCCCCGAGGGCCCCGCCCGCCACGCACGGCCGTTTGGCTGCGGGTCAGCTTCCCGACAGCACGTTAACCGAGAGCAAAGCCGTGGGCGGCGCGCCGCGGGAGCCGCGGGCACGGCTGCGGGAACTCCAGAGAACCGATTCTCATGGCTTACACAACGCGGACGCCGCCTCGCAGACCGATCGCTCGCTGAGCGGCACTCCGCCCCGCGCCGCGCTCCCTCCGCTCGGGACAGCCCCGGCCCGGCCCTTCCCTCCCGCTGGCCCCGGCCGACCCCGTCCCGCGGCACCGACCTGCTCCTCCGGGCTCCGCCGGTACCGGACGGGCGCCGCCCCCGCCTCCCGCTCGCGGTCCCCGGGCGGCGGCGGCAGCTCGGCCGCCGAGCCCATGGCTCCTCGGGCGGCGGGGGCGGCCGCTGGCGGGAGCCCCGCCGGGGTGGCGGCGGCGGCGGCGGAGAAGGAGGAGGGAGCGCCGCTTCCTCCCGCAGCGCCGAGCGGAGCCGCACGCTCCCGGCCGGCGGCGGCTCCTCCTCGCGGCGGGGCGGGGCTCGGCGCGGGGCCCCGCGGCAGCCGCCCGTGTAGGGCCAAGTCGCGGCCCCGCGGCGGTGAGGGGCGCTGGGCTGCGGTCCCGCCTCGGGTCGGCGCTCCCCGCCGAGAGCCGCGCCGCGCTGCCGCAAACACGAAGCCCGAGCGCGGACCTTGCGCTGAGAGCCGCGAGCACGCGAGCCGGGCGCTACCGGAACGTTGGTTCCAGCCCGCTCCTGAAGCCCGGAGTGGGGCCGAGGGGAGGCGGCAGCGGGTGCGGCGCGCCGTGTCCCTGCCCCTGCAGCGCCTGGGCACCTGTGGGTGCTCCTGTTGACGGCCCAGCGCCGTGGCTGCAGGGCTGGGCTCCGTTCCCACGAGCCGTTACCCGAGGCGCTGCGTGACAGCTGGGCTCGGTGGAAGTGGAGCGTTTGTATGAATTTGGTCCGACTTTCTATTAGATGGGTGCGGACCCCGCTGCTTTTTGTCTGCACTCCACCCACGTTTTTGCTTTTCCTGCCGTTATCGAACAGCAGCAAACCGAAAACCACCGCAGAGAAGCACCCCGCCTGTCGCGGAGCCGTCACGCCTTCAGGCTAACAGGGAGCACGTCTCCTGAAAGCGCCGGCCCACGTGTAGACCAACCGACTGGCAGGCCGTGGGCTGGACGGGCCAGCCAGCAGGCACACAGTGGTACCGGTGCCATGAGCCCGGCCCCTTGTGCTCCTCCTCCAGACAGGGCCACCACAGATCACCGAGCGATGTTTCCCAGCCTCCAAGCCCCCTGACTCCCAGCCCATGGTGCCTTCTCCCACTATCCATCTCAGAAAATGCCAGTATAAATTCCACTGTTATTTTACTGATGAGCAAAAAGCTATTTAGGGTCAATAGAATCATTTAGGTTGAAAAAGACCATAAAGTTCATTGCATCCAATGCCAACCCACCCTCACCGTGCCCACTAACCATGTCCCTCAGTGCCACATCTACACCATTCTTGAACACCTCCTGGGATGGTGACTCCACCACCTCCCTGGGCAGCCTGTGCCAGTGGGCCCAAGTAAGTTGCAGACATGCAAGTTGAAGGGTAGATTCTGAAGAATATCCCTTTGTTTTGCATGTAACACAGTACAGAACATCTCCGAAGGGGTGAAGAGGGATCCTTTTAATCGTTTATCAATTGGAGGTCACTAAGGAGAGTCAGAATCTCCTGACAAGATCTGTAATTGATGGGATTTCTGGAAAAATGTGAGGTTCAAGAGGAGGAAGACTGAGTGCTGCAGCTTTGCTCAGTCCTAGGCCAAGCACACCAGGCCAACTACACCAGCCTTTCTGAACCAGACCACAGTGGTGGTAACAGCTCTAGCCAGGCTTATGCTTTCTGGCTGCAGCCATAGTAGTTGCCTAGCAAAGAATACTGTGCTGTAGGGATATTTCTGGAGAGTGTTCATCTGGCTTCCAGGGTTCAAAGACATCCTGGGGCCAAGTGCCATGCTGACTGCAGGGGCGGTATTTCAGCAGTGGGATCAAAGGCACTGAGGAAAGATGTGCAGGGAGATCACATGCAGACAGAACAGAGTGCTTACACTGGGTTAGTTGCCCAAGGGCCAGAAGACCTGGCACAATACATCCCTTTCATCCTGCACTCTCTTCCCTTGTCCATCTCTGTGGCATTCACTCGTGCCCCTGCAGACTGCAGGGGCTGGGGCAGTGAGCTGCTCTGTGGGATCTCAGCTGCTTGGCCCTCAGGGCTTTCCCATCCCACTCCTTCTCTGAAGCACAAAAGCCAAGATGAAACTCTGGTCTAGTATTAGAAATGGAGGTTGGTAGCCCTGCATGCGGCAGGAGGGTTGGAGCTTGATGATCCTTGAGATCCCTTCTAACCCAAGCCATTCTGTGATTCTATGATTCTAAGAAGCCTGGGTCAGCGGTTTGATGATGCGATGCAACCAGCATCAGGGCTTTAGATTGAAAAGGGTATAGCTGTGTAACACAGAAATGTGAGACACCTTCCTGGTTCCAACAGGTCAACACTTTTTGATGGGTTGGCACTGTGGACTAGCACAAACACCTATAATCAACCTAAAATCGTGTCTTGTGTCCTAACTGATTGAACAGCTTTGTGAGTGGCATATCCTGCATCTGCTCCAATCCAGCTGAGCCTTGGAGGCCATGTTAACACTAAACAACCCCCAGAAGGAGTCTCAGAAAGGACTGGGACAGAGGATGAGCCAAGTTTGTACCTGCTCACAACGTGCCATTTCTTATCAGCCTGGCTGACTTTCTGCCATAAATATGTAGTTAAGGACTCAGGAAAAAAAAAGAAAAAAGAAAGCAACTCACTTTTTATTCTTTCTTTATTTTATATGCAACTAACAGACCAAACTGAATTCAATATGAGATTCAGTCAGATTGCTGAGTGCAGAGTTTAATCCCGAATCTTTTGAAACTCCAGAGTTCATCTAAATATTAAAAGGCTTGGAAAAAACAGAGGTTCTTTAAACCTTTGGTAATGGAAACTTTTGTCATAACTGGGAAGGGGTCAATGTGGTTTAGTAGAGTTTAATGGATTTACTGATAAATGAAACATTTCCAACTCTCTGATGGGTTTTATCTACTTTATATTCCAGATGTTAATATAAGTAAATTCCCTAAACTCTCAAACAATTTGTCCAGTATGACCATGCAGCTTATGGTGGTCACTGTAGCTCTTACATGGATTTCTGAAGTAAAGCTGCTAAATTCTGTAATTTCCCTAGATCCTTAAAGCATATTAAGAAACACAAGAAATGGCTTTTCCAATACGGGCTACAATATGAACTGGGAGAAATTGGAATTCAAAACATGAAAATATATTAGAGTATACTGAATGAAAATGAAATGAAACCATTAATTTGCTTCCTTTTTCTTCCATGTATAATGACAAAGGAACATGGAAGATCAGCTCCCATTAGCGATCGCTATTCTCCAACAGTTGAAATATATCATGCAATCTCACTTGGGGGCCAAAGCAAAATATATGTGAACTCATATACAGGGGATCAGAAAGGAGAAACAAAACATTAATGGGGAAGATCTATCACAAAAGGTCACCTGGAATATTCCCAGGCATCAGAGGTGGTTTTCTACTCTACCTTTGCAAATGCATTCAGCAGTCTGATTTTTTTTTTTTTATGTCCCAAGTGCGTTCTGCCATTTATCTTTTGTATTATTTCACGTATTTCACATAAAAAAAAAAGACAAAAAGCTCCTCTCTTAGTATCAAATCCAAATTTTCCCCTTTTTATTTCATTCTATTAGGTTAAGTTCATTTATCATCCTTGATGACCAGCCTGAGTTTCTGCAGAGTGTGCTTGTGCCAACCATATTCACCTCCACTAACCCTACAGAAGAAAGCAAAATTTAGGTCCTGGTTTGAAAATCTGGTAGAGTTACAGCGTGATCCCAGTGCAGCTTTGCCCTTACCTAGCTAATCTTTATTTTGCTTACTTCACTCACTTTGCTATATTTTAACTTATGACCTTTCTTTTTTGCTACCATTTGAAAAGAGAGATTTGATCTTTTTTCTTGCAATGAGCCCTCTCTAAGCATTTATTTCTCCCTAAAATAAGCTCCAAGCAGGCCCAAAATACTTTGGACACAGATAGACAGTGTAGCATTGTATTTATTCATTTGTTTACTCCAGGACACTGGATGCACGAGTCCAATTTGCTACTTGGTGTCACACAGAGATTTCATACTTCAAGCTGCTCTCCTCAGTCATACAAGCCTTTTCTTTTTACAGTCCTTTTTGCTGTGTTCAACAGCAATAAAATTGCTACCCCAATTTATCTGCTAGGTGAAATAAGCCTAACAGTTTACTGAAATGATGCTTCACCTCTACGGCACAAACCCATGTGTAAACCATGCTGGTTCCACAGGGCCCTCCTGGCTTTCCATGGTGGCCCATTGCCTTCCCAGTTCTTCCTTCTATGGAGCAGACACTTCTCTGGGTGGAAATTTGTCAGCCAAGTATTACAAAAGGCGTGTGATCGTTTCTAGCCTTGTCCCATGAGCAGTTTTCTTGAATCTAAACCAGGACAGTGCTTTGAATCGTAGGCACAGAAGCAAATGGCTTGAGGTGTTTGGCATGAGAGCAGGGAGATGCGAACTGGTGCTGAGTGCTGCACATTACGGATCTGTGAGCTCATCCTCAGCTTTAAATTGCAGTTCCCCTCATCCATTGAGAATCTCTCTGGGTTTACGTGAAACATTACCATTATTTTGAGGGCAGGGGTAGTTAAGCTATGGGCACTTCAACAAATACTGCTCTGAGCAACCTGATGGAGCTGTAGGTATCCCTGTTCATTGCAGGGAAGTTGGACTAGATGGCCTTTAACGGTCCCTTCCGATTCAAATGACTTGATTATAGCTATGGGTTTGTGATGTAAGATTTGTTAGACTAAAACTAAGCCCCAAGATTTCTTTCATGTAGTCCTTAGTCCTAGTGTAAGCAAGGACAGGCCAGAATACGAGGGTGCTTTACAGGCTATGTGGGCATGTGTTAAACCTCATGTGGGCAAATGAATTATGATGTTAGGTATTTCTGAGTCTATAAAACAATTGCAGAAAGAACAGAGGGGATGCCAGGTATGTGGCAGCAGGAAAGGTCTTTCTGATTAAACTGGGGATGATTGTCTCAGTTTCTGATAGAAATCTCTAGCATCTAGGCAAGCAAAATTAACTGTGGTAACCAATTATTCTCAAGCAAATAGTGCATTTATATAAGCATGAGATGGACAGGAAAAAAGGAAGAGGAAGGGCCTGAATGAATGTATTTAATTGAGGATGCTTCCTGGTACCCTGGGTGATCAAATCAACAGACATCAGGAGAAAGACCAAA